GCAGAGGCAAATTGATCTCTGGGGTTAGAGGTCTGAATAGTGACGTCCTTGGAGAATACTCCAGGGGGGAACCTGCTGGGTGCTGGTGATGTTCCAGGCTTCGATCTGGGTCACATGGAGCATTTATATGTGAAGGGCCATCATGAACCGACACATAGATCTGGGGACTTTGCCGTAAGTTACACTTGAATTACAAGAGAAAATGTGGGGTGCCTTGGTGGCTCAGCTGGTTGGGCGACTTGATTTCAGCTTAGGTCACGGTCTCACGGTTCATGGATTTGCTCACAGCATGGAGCCTGCTTTGGATCAGTCTCCCTCTCTCTGCCCCTCTCCAGCTCACGTACTCGCTCTCAAAAACAAACAAAAAAAGTCAAAACAAATTTTACAAAAAGAAAAATATACATTGGGAAGTGAAAGTGGACTAGGGAAAGAAGGTAAGAGGAGAGGGATGTAGACGCAGAGATAACCAAAAAAAAAAAAAAAAAAAAAAAAAAAAAAAAAAACAAACAAACCCAATAGCCTTTGCTCTTAAAGACTTTCTTGGAGAAATATCCTCCTATCGTGGCCTTGGAAGAAACCACTGCAAAACCCCAGCCTTGTGTTGTGCTTTCACACCTGGAGATGTATGTGGAGGGAATATCCCTCAGTCTCTGCCTTGGGGACCAACATAGAATTGAGTCGAGGGCCTGAGCCCACAAGCCGGAGAGCCCCAGTTCGGCCAGAGAAGCCTATGGAAGCAAGGCGAAGAGGATGGGGGCTGGGGGCAGACACCTGAGCCGAGTCCTGGTGCCATCTCCTGTTTGCTCTCGTGCATCTTTAGCCCGTGTGATCCTCCACCAAAGCGCCGTTTTAATATGCCCATCAGCACGGGTCCCGGGGAGCCCCTCTGTGGGCAGGAGCCACCTTGGTGCTTTTCCTTGAGCTGGGCGCTCTGCCTGGAGGAGAGGGTGCAGCATGTCCGGGTCCTCGTAGACCGTTCATCTGGGAACGCCTGTTTCTGAAGAGCACCCAAGGTCATTTTCGCCCGAGGAGGGGAACCAGCTGGGAGGTCGGCGCAGAACAAGGGCAGTGTGCTCTCGTGGCTGTGACTGGAGGTGTGCTTGTGTGCACGTGTGTGCTCTCATGAGGATTTCACACTCGTCAAGGGGGTGGAGGAGTGTCGGGCACTTGACACAGTCAGTCCTCGTGGGAGCTTTGTGGAATTCATCCGCTCAGCACCCCTGTATCGAGCTCCTCCTATGGCACATCTCGAGTTCTGGGGCGGGGGCAGCACAGTCCGGTACAAGCATAACGTGAGCCTCACGGAATTTCACGTCTCGGAGTAGCCATATCAGAGTAAAAAGAAACAGGTGAGACCAACTTTCGCATTTTTTTAACTCCATGTATCCGAGATGTAGTCAGTATAAACATTTCAGATATTGGGCATTTTTTCGTGCTGTCTTTGAAATCCCCTGTCCAGTTTCCACCTACAGCGCATCTCAGCTTGGACTAGGCCCATTTCGAGCACTCATAGCCACGTATGTGTCCCTTGTGGGACAGCACAGATCTGACGCCTTCAATGGTCATAAGACAGGGTGGTCTGGGCTATGATGGAGGCTTGCAGGGGCGGTGGGGACATCGAGGTATATTCATTCTGCCCTGTGGCTTAAGCAGATTTCTTTCTCGTGGAAATGGCTGGTGCGGGCACGCGGGCCGCTGCCTGGCCGGGCAGCACTACAGGGCGGCCTGTGGATGGGGAAAGGGGTTTCGGGGCGAGGGGCCACACCTAGTCCTCAAATCTAGGCCCAGAAGCAGCCCGGGTCACTTCTCTGCATTTAGTTGCACAAGCACACCAGGAGGTAAAGGGATTTGGACACGTCTGGCTGGGCAGCCGTTAGCCCAGAAAGAGGGAGAACAGATTTAGGGGGAAAACCAGTCTGACCCGTGGGGTTTAGAGAGGCCTCTGTTGAGGTGATGTGTTTGGGTACTGAGGCAGATGGCCATGGTGGCCCCATGAGGCCCCCGCAGCCCCCAAGAGAGATGGGCTTCGCACCCACAGCAGCACCCGCTAACCTGTGGGAGGACTCACTGTGGTTCTGTCTCTGCAGCCAGAGCACAGCATCGATTTCGTCAGCAGGGACCTGCTTGTGCATTTCATCAGGAAGCTGCAGGCCCACGTCCTGCTCATCAAGTAAGTTGGAGCCATGTGCCCGAGAGGCTCGACTGTCCGGAATCTCCGCGGCTCTAGGGGGAGGTTCCCAGCTCTACCAGCGAGACCTGGCAGTCATTTTTCATGGGTGGCTGCTCCCACTGCCCCAAGCAGTGGAAGGCAAAGCAAGGGGAGGGCTCGGGCAGCGGGTGGGGCGGATTCGAGGGCACCTCTCAACAGGGGTCTGCGAGGTAGGGGCCAGCGGGCCTGACAGTGGGACGCTCGCTCTACCAAATTCTCCAGCCACACCAGACCCCTTACGGCCCCAGATCCGGGCTGCTCACCTGCCTTCCTCCCCACTGCCGGCGGCCGGCCAGAAGCAGTCCCACAGCGAACATCCTTCCGTGTGGCTCGGATGCCGCTTTCCGCTCTGCTGCGGCCAGCCTAGACTGTGGCACGCCTGAGGCAGGAACCCCGACTTGTGGGGACACGTGTGTCTCTGGTGCTGAGCACGGGGGTTTAGGAGGCAAATCCACACCACAGGGAAATACGCCGCACGTCCTCACTAGGACGGCCAGACTAAAGATAACCGGTGTCGGCAAGGATGTGAGACACCAGGACCCTCGTGCTGGGGGGCTGTAACACGGAGCAGCCGCTTGGAAAGCAGTCTGGCAATTTCTCAAGCCGGTGTTACCACAGGACCCGGCAACTGCACTCCCTGGGCATTTGTGTGCCCCACACAGGACCACACGACAGCTCGCACGTGATGGCTCGGAGCAGTGTTGTTCACAATGGCCCAGAGGTAGAGACGTCTGTCAGCCGGCGAGCAGATGAGCCAAGTACGGTACCTCCATACAGTGGGCTATGTTTTAGCCACAAAGGGGAACGAACTTGTACGGGCCACACGGGCGAGCCTTGGGAACATTATGTAAAGTGGAAGCCAGCCACACAAACCCACGTACCCACGTAGGATTTGCTTCACATGCAAGTCCAGAGAGGAAAGTCTAGAGAGGGTTGATCAGTGGTTGCAGAAGACGGACTGGGCACTGTGTGTGTGTGTGTGTGTGTGTGTGTGTGTGTGTGTGTGTGAGAGAGAGAGAGAGAACTACGGGTTTGGGATGTTTGAGACAATAACAACACCCTAAAACTGACCGTAGTGATGGTTGTACAACTCAAATATACTAACAAACATGGAATGGTACATTACATGTTAAATGGGTGAAGTTCTCTCAGTAAAGATGTCGGGAGAGAAAGCATCGACTTAAGAGACTGTCATCACCTCCTGGCCCTGCCATTCAGAGGCTGTGGCCACAGGCAGGTCCTGCAACCCGATGGAGTTGAACCCACAGCACTTGGCTCACGTTGGCCAGTGAGCCCCGAGTGCCCACAGGTGCCCAGGGCCTCGACCCTGATTTACACCTGGGCTCTGAGGGAAACTCGGAGGCAAGCCCGGGCCTGTCTCCTCTCAGCCTGGAACCCAGGGCAGGGGCGAGGCACCGCAAGGTGGCCCTAAGGTGAGCCCTGATTTTTCTTTGGTTTTCCAGAGCAATGCAAGGGTTTTATAACGTGAGAAGAGAGAACGACGCTGACAAGGAGGCCCTAAATTTGGTGAAAGACATACTGAAATCTGTCCTAAAGGAGGTAGGTGTGCGGGGCTCAGCCAGGCTGGGGGTCAGCAGGGTCCTCACCCAGGCTCTGGTCTGGCCCCAGGTCTAATGGGTGGACTGCCAGGAACTACCAGGCCTCACTCCCCACTGTGGCCAGTCCCTGGAGCCACATGTGACTCGGCACAGGAAACACATTAATTGGCAGAATCTCCCAGTTTTATTGTCCTCACATATCCTGTAGGCCAAGCCCAACTGGGCCAGAGGCCATCCCACGATTTCTAGGGTGAGCAGGTGACCAGTTACATCAGTGGGTGATGGCTGCAGGTGAGGGTGGGTCTCCCAGTTGGGGAGCTGAGACTCCTGCTTTGTCCCTGGGAGCACCTGGCACTTTCCAACCATCACCCACCATAAACACCTGACCCCAGGGGCCTCTGCTAACATCTCGGCATTGGCACCGGAGTGGCCGGCTGGATGGTCAGCGGGCAGTGCCTTCCTGCCTCCCAAAGAGGATCAAGTTTGAAAGGCTGCTCATTTTTCAAGCCAACCTTAAAGTGGCAGAATGAACAGCACCCCGGGTCCCTCCCCAGCCTCGCTCTACAACCTCACCGCTCAGAACGGTCCAGAAGCCCAGGGTGTGGACACTTACCCCCCCAAACAGGCCTTTCTTGCTGGCTCTGAGCCAGGCCCTGACTTAACCAGAGGGTGCCCCTGGAGCTGCAGGTCAGTCACTGCCCCGAGGGTCACTGTGAGGGACCCTCTTGAGACACAGGGAGGCAGCAGGCCCTGGGAAGAGGGGCCCACGGAGCCCCCGCATCCAGGCCTCACCTCACCACGCATCCCTCCCTCTCCAGTGGTTCCAGTATACAGAAGTCCCGGGCAATCACTACGTCCACATGAACCAACCCCAGCGTGTGGCCGGGATCATCGGCTCCTTTTTGAAGAGCAGTACCCTGAACCAGCTGTAGCCTGGGCCTGGGGCTTTGCCCCGCTCCCCCCACTCACCCCCCGGACTCCCTGCTCCCAATCCCCACAGCCAGGCCAGGTGCGGTGGGGACAGGCCTCGCGGGTCTTGGAGACCAGCAGGGCCTGAGGCAGAGAAACCTGGGGCAGGGTTTGGAGGGATGGGGCCAAGATTCTGACTTTTGGTATCTGAGACTTCAAGGGGGAGACACTGTTTGGACCTGGAGGGTTGTCCGTTTTGTGGCTGATAATCGGCAGTGAGTGGGTAGCGGATGGAGGAAGGAAGGGCCAGGTTGCTGCCCAGCTGGATGAAAAATAAAATGTTCTGTATTCGCACTGTTTCCGAGGCCGTTTCGCTGCCAGCGGGGGCCCTTCCAATGGGGGAAGGGGAGAACACAGCAGACACTTAGCCTGAGAGGAGAGTCCAGGAACAGGCCGGGAACAGAGATGAGAAGGGAGCAAGCGCTCCCCAGGCTGGTGGCGTCCTGACAAGCCCTCGCACCGGGCAGGCCCCGCCAGCATGGGGTCCCGAGACTGCAGAAGCACCAGGGCCCAGGGAGGAGCTGTCGTTCACCCCATCCGTGGGGACTCCGGCCTCGGGGGCTGGCTGACACGGTAGCCCCTCGGCCTGGGCAGCCTGGGACGAGCTGTTCCAGACCTCTGCGTCCTCACCAACCGCGCACCGTCACCGTTCACCGTTCTGCTCCGTGGGGCCCGTGGGCCAACTCAGCTCAGTAGGGTCGGAATTTGCGCTGGGCCCGCATCAGTTCAATCCTCTGCTTGTCCTCCTCAAACTTCTTGCGCAGCTGGGCTAGATCTAGGGCGGGAAGCACAAGGGGAAATGGGGCCGTATCGGTCAGTGTGGCCCGTGGGGGGGTGGGGGTGGGGCTGTGCCGCGTGGCCCCCAAGCCTGCTGGCCTCTGCTCTGAGAAACGGTTGGGACCTTGCATGGAGACTGACTAGCATGCAGGCCTAGTCAGAGGGTGGAAGCTGAAGACAGGGCAGCACACCTGAGGTTTCAGAGGAACCTCCTCAGTAAAAGAAAAAGCACGGAGAAAGCAAGGCACCTGCTCCCTTCCCGCCCCTACCCCACAGACCCAAGGTGAAGGAAGGTGGCTTTGGGGGTGTCAGGAGCCCCCGGGGCACCTCTCCCAAACACTCCCCGCTGCAGCACTCAGACTGGGGACAAGATCGGGAAGTAAAGGGACTCCGCCCTGAGAGTGCCACGGAACCCAGATGGCAGGTCTGTCACCAGGTGAGCAGCCGAGGAGCCCAGAGGGAGGGCTGGCAGAGGCCCGCCGTCGGTGAATCTAGACAAAAGGGCAGGAGCGGGGGTGCAGGACACAGTGGGGAGCAGCAGTGAGGCCGGGGAGGGCACGGTGTGCCGGGTGGCAGGTTACCACCTGCTGCAGAGCTCGTCCCCCTGCCGAGGCCGGGGCCAGGGCCAGCGCCAGCACCCTCTCCCCCAGGCCCCCGGGCAGCTGCCCCGCAAGCAGGGGAATCGGGGGCCGCGGCAGCAAGCTCAGCATCATCATGGCCATGAGTCAACCACAGGCGATCGCTCACCCCAACACTCTCCTTGTGGGCCCCCCCCGCCCACGCATGGCGCCCACACACACTCTTTATCTCTCTCTCACACACGCACGGTGCTCACTCGAGACCCCCCCCGCCCCCAAATCACGTCCAGCAGCGGCCCTCTCTGCACCCACTGAGCACTTGAGATCCACCCTCTGCCACATGGCCCCTTGCTGGAGGCTGACGGGTTCCAGCACCAACTGCTCAGGGCTCTGCAGCCTCTAAGCAACCCAAGGGCCCCCACAGCTGCCGCTGGGGAGCCACGAGGAGACCACCACGGGGGATGCTGCAGGCTGGGACCCCCGACTCCAGAGCCTATCAGGAAGTCTGTGCCCAAGGACACCCCCACCCCGCACCCAGGTCTGGCCGCCCTCCAGATCTGAGTTCCGGCCGCGGCTGGTAGCAGTGGCCACGGGCCGGGCCCCGAGGGAAGCAGGGCTGAAGCACAGGGGCCTGGGGCGCTCCTTACGCTCCATCTTGGTCTCTCGGTGCTGCCAGGCGTAAAAGTTGAGCAGCTCTTTGCGGGCGCGCTTCCGTCTCTCCCTCTCCAGCACCCGCAGGCTCGCCGCCTCCGTCCGGGGTAGCACTGGCCGCCGGCCCCGGCGTGTCACCTTCACCCAGCCCTCCTCGTCCGGAATCCCTTCCTCCTCCTTGGCCTTGGCCTCCTCCTGCAAGGAACAGACCCCGTGATGGGCAGGTGCCTGGGACCCGCCCTCCTCTCGTGGCTCTCTCCCTCCTGCGCCCGGAACCTCCCCGGGCACACATCACCACCTGCTGCGCCCTCTCCCTCCCAGTAGCTAAATACGGGGGGGACGGGGGAGCACAGGGGTGCCAACGCTGCCTCCTCCCTCAGACTGTTTTCCACAGACCACTCGGAGACTAGAGGTCACCCAGCTAGGTGACCCAGGACTCAGAAGGGAAAAGAGGAGTGACCGGGACAGGCTGCCACCGCCCCTCCTCCTCAGGAGCCACACACAACACCCACGACACCTCCTTCCCTGTGGCCACGCAGCCGCCTCTCCCGAAGCCCCACCTCAGCTATCCTCTTGTCATACGCCTCCATGAATGTGTCCACTTCGACCCTCAAGGCCTCAGGGTCCGGCACCGAGTCTGTGTAGTTGCTGACCCACTCTGAGGGAGAAAGGAGTGAGGGACGGGGCCTCCTCAGGCCGATCCCTCAGGGCCAGCCAGTCAGGATCTTTTTTTTTTTTTAAAGTGGGCTTCATACCCAGCATGGGGCTTGAACTCACAACACTGAGATCAAGACCTGAGCCGAGATCAAGAGCCGGACACTTAACCCACTGAGCCACCTGGGCGCCCCCCAGTCAGGATCTCCTTCCACAGGCCACGAGGATGGCGACGTGTGGCCCAAGCTTCAGGTGCTAAGAAGAGTCTAGTGGCGGTGAGCTGGGCCCTCACCTCCGGCCACTCTGAGTGCCAGGCCCAGGCCTTCCAGCGCCTCCCCGCCAACCCAGGGCCCGGGACGGAGGTGCCCGACATCGCCGCGGTACTGACTGTGAACGCCGCTCTTCACAGGGTGACTGTCTGTGGAGACCAGCAAAGGGCCCTTCAGGGCTAAGGCAGCCGACACCCCACCTGGCTTCTGGAACACCACGTAGGCTACCTGGAACCCCTGGGGGAAGAAGGAGAGAGGTCAGAATGCCAGGGCCCTTCCTGTCCTCCCAGTCACCCAGCACCAGGGATGCCACCTGCCCTCAGCTTGACTTGCTGCTGGACCAGGGGATGTGTGCTGGGCTGTTCCGCCACAAAGATAACCAGAAAGTGATCTGTAATCCTGGGGAGAGACGGCCACGCTCCTGATCTTCCCACTGGTGCTAGAAGCGACCCAGGCGAGGTGAGACACTCGGGACCTTCCTCCCAGTTATGGGAGGGACTCTGTGAAAAGCGAGCTCACCAAGCACTACGGGCGGACACCAGTTCACACGCGCTATGCCCGGAGCAGGTGCCTCACGTTTCCTCAAGGGGAAACCAGACCAGGCCATGGGGCCTAGGGAGGAATGGACTTCGGCGGACTTCGGGAGCTCAGAGAGGCTTTCCCCCAGGATGCTGGGAAGAGCTAGGCAAGAAGCTAAGGGATGGTGGCAGATGCAGGGAAAGGAGCAGGGCGCCGTCTGCCCAACAGGCATCCTCAACCACACAAGCGAGGACTGGCCTAGGACCACGGGGACCGCTCAGCCGCCCTGCTGTCACCCTGCCACCACCGCCCCACGCACACCGCGGACGCTGTCCCAGCCCCACCGCGCGCCCCATGCGAGCAGACCGCAGAACTTGAATGCCTACCCGAACGGGCGTGGGGTGAAAAAACTTGGACTTTGGTTCCTCTGAGCGGTCAGCAAGGTCCGGCTTCTCCTGTAACTCCACAGACTGGACGGGGCCGCAGGGAGAGAGGAGGCGGGCCAGGCACTCCTGCCGAAGCGGGGGCAGGGGGTTGGGGAGGGGGGAAGCTCGGCATGAGAGGCAGCAGGGCCTTCTGGAACCCCCTCTGCCCAGGGCAGCACCACTGGGGGCGGGGTCTCAGAGTCCATGTCTGCCCAACGAGGGGGGCGCACACACAGGCCCGAGCAAACCACATCCTCCTCGGCACCGTCCCAATCCTGCCTCCCGTGGCCCAAAACGTCAATCTTGTGAATTTTCATGTTCAAAACTCTGAGCAGAAAACCACAGCGCCGCTGGCCAGGGGATGTGGGAAGAAGGAGGCAGAGTGCGAGACAGAATCCAGGTATAAGCCTTTTGGGGCTTTGCTGGAAGCACATGCCCAGGACGGGTTTGGTTTGTCCCTGAAAGGGCTTCCTCACTTTGAAAGGCCATCTCGCTGAAAGATCAGTCCTTCCCTACCAATTTCTCTGGGTGAGTGATCCCCAAAGTAGGACCAGGTTCTATTACAAGAATAGGTGAGGACGTTTTGGGGGTTATGCGGAACATTCTGATTTTAGGAGACAACCAGCTAACTTTTCCTCCCCGCAGCAGCCATTTAAAACTGAAGTTAAATCAATGTTGTAGTTGCTGGACTCAGGCTGGTGGTGGCCCTTGGGGGGGGGGGGCGGGGCATGAAGGGATTTCTTGGGCTCAGGTCATGTTCGGTTTCTGGGTGCTGAGTACACGGGGTGTTCCGTCTGTGAAATGGAGCGAGCTGTGCGCTAGGGCCCAGGCCCTTCTCTGTATACACAATACGGTTCAGGAAAAGGTAAAAAATGACGCCCTCTCCTCTGCTTCTTTCTCTAGAACAATCTTTTAGAAATCAGTATTTCTTTTTTGAATCCCAAGTCATCTAAAATCCAGCAACTCCCTTAGTTTCTCTTCTATAAAGTTATGGAAGGCAAAACTTCACTGCTTTTTGTGAAAGAAAGTTAATGTCTGGATAGATTGAGAAGTACTTTTATCTTCTTATATTTTTTCTTATGGAGATGTATCACTTTTATAATCAGGGAAAAACATGTAATTCAAACAATTCTGGGTAATAATAAGAAGCTTTGAGCTCCTCAGAACTATAGCTTTTAATTTTTTTTTAAGTTTATTTACTTATTTGGGGGGTGAGGGACAGAGGGAGGGAGGGAGAGAGAATCGCAAGCAGGCTCCACACTGCCAGAGTGGAGCCTGATGTGGGGCTTGAACCCATGCACCACGAGGTCATGAGACCCGAGCCAAAACTCAGAGTCAGAAGCTCAACCAACTGAGCCATTCAGGTGCCCCATAAAACACAGCTTTAAAAAGCCATTTCCGGGGGCGCCTGGGTGGCTCGGTCCAGAGTGTGTGACTCTTGATCTCAGGGTGGTAAGTTTTTAAGACCCATGTTGGGTGTAGGGATTCCTTAAAAAAAAAAATTTTTTTTAAAGCCACTCCCTATCAAGAGACAGAGGCAGACCTCTAGATTCTCCTTTGGGGCTTCAGTTAGATGCTTCCAACTCACCACTAAGGACTTGGTGAAGGCCAGTGGGAGCCCAGCCCTGCCTGGGACTCCTGGCCAGCCCTACAGGTTCCCTCCCAGACACCCACTCACCTCTGTGCAGTATGGGGGCACGTTGAGGACAAAAAGGGTCCGCTTCTGAGGCCAGGAAGACTTGGTGCCTTCTCGAACTCTGTGTTCTCTCACATAGAGGTAGTGAGAAGCCTGCTGCTTTTCCGAGAACTTGATCGGGATGGCTGGACGGAAAATGGGGGCAGGGGTGGATGGCGTGAAAATCAAGTTCACGCTGTCCCTTTCTAGTTCTGTCTCTCCATTCCATCACTGAGCCCTTCCCCTAGGCAAGGCCTGTGCAGGAATTGGAGAGGGAACGAACAGAGAACCTGCCCAGGAGGGGCTCCCAAGCTGGTGGGGGAGAGAATGTAAACGGGCAATTATTACAGGTGGGGAGCGAAATGAGAGGGGAGTTCAAACCCTGCTGCTCTTGGGGTCAACACTAAAATCCCGACAATGGCTGGAGCCCTTGCCAGATCCTGACCACCTTTCACCTCTTTCCATCCCCTCTTTCCCCAACCACTGTGTGGGCCTGCCACTCCACCTTCTCCCTATTCCTCCAGGAAGCCCAGACTTCACCTGTGCTCACACATTTCCCTTTACCTGAAACAGCAACTCTCCTCCCTCCACCCGTGCTTCAGGTTTTCTTTTTAAGTTTATTTATTTTTAAGATTTTAAAAAAATGTTTATTCTTTTTTTTTTTAACGTTTATTTATTTTTGAGACAGAAAGAGACAGAGCATGAACAGGGGAGGGGCAGAGAGAGAGGGAGACACAGAATCTGAAACAGGCTCCAGGCTCTGAGCGGTCAGCACAGAGCCCGACGCGGGGCTCGATCTCATGGACCGTGAGATCATGACCTGAGCTGAAGTCAGACGTTTAACCGACCAAGCCACCCAGGCGCCCCCAAAATGTTTATTTATTCTTGAGAGAGAAAGCACGAGCGGGGGAGGGGCAGAGAGAGAAGGAGACACAGAATCCGAAGCAGGCTCCCAGCTCTGAGCTTGACAGCCCGACACAGGGCTCTAACTCACGGACTGTGAGATCATGACCTGAACCAAAGTCAGATGCTTAACCGAGCCACCCAAGCACCCCTTAAGTTTATTTATTTTGAGAGAGAGAGAGAGAGAGAGAGAGAGAACGAATGGGGGAGAGACAGAGAGGGAAACAGAGGATCTGAAGCAGGCTCTGTGTTGACAGCAGAGATCCCAATGCGGGGTTCTAACCTACAAACTGTGAGATCATGACCTGAGCTGAAGTCAGACACTTAACCAACTGAGCCACCCTGGCATCCCCTATCCTTCAGGCTTTAACTTCCATGGAGAGCCTTTCATGCCAAGTTAGAACCACCTGCTCTGTGCCCTGCCAACACCTCTCATGGTCTCTAAGCCTCCATCTGTGCGATCATTTGGATAATCGCTGACATTTCTGTAATGCTAGGGACTGTGTTCTGTTCTTCTCACCACCTCCTTCAGAGCACAGTACCTGTGCTCAGGAAGCTCCCATGGGAGCGGGAGATGGCAATCAACAAGAAAGCACATAACAAGATTCTATCAAATATGAAAGAAAGGGGAAAACAGTGCAGGGTGGTCGGGTGGCAGAGGCCTTTAGACAGGCCATCAGAACGGCCTCCTTGAGGAACTGACATTAAAGCCAGAAGGCACAGCTGGGTGAGGTAGAGGAGGGCACAGCAGGTGCACAAACCCTGAGGATGTAAAGACTTTGTTGTCTCAGAGGAACAGAACAAGCTTTAGGTCAGCCGAGCCAGAACGTGGGGGTGGGGGGTCCACACAAATCAACGGTAAGAAGTCTGGATTTTGTTTTAGGTGCCGACTCGTAAAACCACTGGAGTGAGTTCTGTGGGTATGGAAACACAAGTAAGCCTGTGAGGCAAAATACTACTTCTGTCTGACTTTAGAAAGAACATTCTGGCACCTGGGCGAACGGTACGCAGAGGCAAGAACAGAAGCATGAGAACCGATTAGGAGGGCACAGCCAGGTGAGGGCTGACAGGGGCCAGACTAGGAATCGCAAAGAGATGATAGGAAGTGGCTGAGCTCACCTGCGGGGCGGGGGAGGTGGACGTGTGAAGACGGACACGGGTTTGTCCTGGGGAACAGTGTGGACAGACATGGGTTTGTTTACCTAAGGGAAGCGTTGCCCCAAATGGGCTCATCCCTGGAGAACGCCGCCAGACGCAAGCAGGGCGCAGCATCGAGCTCGCGGACCTCGGGGCCTCCGGGACTCACACCCAACAGCGCGGCCGCTCCCGGGGTCCCCTTGCCACCGCCGCCTCCCGAGCCAACTCCCCGAGAAGCCTGGCCATCCCCGGACCCGCAGCTCCTCACCTGAATACCCGGGCGGGCTCGGAATCCCCTGCTCGGAGCCCTGCGCCCCACGTTTCCTCCTGCGCGCCACCATCTTGCCAACCGGAAGCTGCGGGGGCCGCTGGGAGTTGCAGTTTGGCGCTCGGAGCCCGACCGTTTCCATGACGACGGCGCCGCGTGCGGGCCCGCCCCCTTGGCTCCAGGCCCGCCTTCCCGCCCTAGTAGTACCTTGAGGGCGCAACCTTTGTTTGCTCTGAGTAAAGTCGGCACGTAAACGTGAGAGTAAAGGTCCGGATGAGGATGGACCGCCACCATCCATCCATTCCAGAAATGGCAAAGGAGGCCCCACTCAAGTTGACCGTTTTAACTAACCATTTTTTTTTTTCAACGTTTATTTGTTTTTGGGACAGAGAGAGACAGAGCATGAACGGGGGAGGGGCAGAGAGAGAGGGAGACACAGAATTGGAAACAGGCTCCAGGCTCTGAGCCGTCAGCACAGAGCCCGACGCGGGGCTCGAACTCACAGACTACGCGGGGCTCGAACTCACAGACTGCGAGATCGTGACCTGGCTGAAGTCGGACGCTTAACCGACTGCGCCACCCAGGCGCCCCATTAACTAACCATTTTTTAAGCGTACAATTCAGTGGCATTAAATACGTTCTCATTATTGTGCAAACCGTGTTCAATATCCATCTCCAGAATTTTTTATCCTCCCAAACTGAAACTCTACCCGTGTCCTCCTTCCCCCAGCCCCTGGTAACCACCCCCTCTATTTTCTGTTTCTTTCTTCTTTTTTTTTTTTTTTTTAATGTTTATTTATTTTTGAGACAGAGAGAGACAGAGCATGAACGGGGGAGGGCCAGAGAGAGAGGGAGACACAGAATCTGAAACAGGCTGCAGGCTCTGAGCGGTCAGCACAGAGCCCGACGCGGGGCTCGAACTCACGGACCGCGAGATCAGGACCTGAGCCGAAGTCGGACGCTTCACCGACTGAGCCACCCAGGCGCCCCTCTACTTTCTGTTTCTATGAACTCGACTATTCTAGCTAGGTACCTCATATAAATGGAATCATACAATATGTGTCCTTTTGTGTCTGGCTTATTTCACTTAGCATGTTTTCTTGATTAATCCACGTAGTGGCATGTCTCAGAATTTCCCTTTTTAAGGCTGAATAATATTTCATTGTACCTATATATCATATTTTGCTTATCCATCTGTCTACAGACATTTGGGTTTTTCTACTTTTGACTATTGTGAATAATGTTGCCGTGAAATGTTCTATACAACTTCGTGCAGACATATTTTAATTTCTCTCGGATATATATCTAGGAGTAGAATTTCTCGATCATATGGTAACTCTATGTTTAACTTTTTGAGGAACTTCCAGACTGTTTTCCAAAGGCTGCATCATTTTAAAATCTCACCAGAGGAGCATGAGGTTTCCAGATTCTCCACATCCTCGCCATTATTTGTTATGCCTATATTTTGATCATAGCCATTCTAGGGGATGTAGAGTGACATCTTATTGGTGTGTGTGTGTTTTTTTTTTTAATGTTTATTTTTGAGAGAGAGAGAGAGAGAGAAAGAGCGAGCAGGGGAGGCACAGAGAGAGAGAGGGAGCCAGAGAATCCTAAGCAGGCTCCACGCTGTCAGCATAGAGCCTGACTTGGGGCTCGAACTCACAAAATGTGAGATCCTGACTGACCTGAGCTGAAATCAAGAGTGAGATGCTTAACCAAGCCACCCAGGCACCCCTCTCATTGGGTTTTGATTTAAATTTCCCAAATGATTAGTGATGTTAAGCACCTTTTCATGTGTTCATTGGCCATTTGTGTATCTTTTTTTACTTTGAGAAATGTCTACTCAAAGTCTTTGCTCATGTTTTATTAGGTTATTTGTACTTCCATTGTTGCATTGTAAGAGTTCTTTATCTCTCCTGGATGCAATTACCTCATAAAATACATGAATTGCAAAGATTCTCTCCTATTCTGTGGGTTATCTTTTCACTTTCTTAAAGGTATTCCTTACAGCATGAAAGATTTTAACTTCGATGAAGTTAAACTTTTTTTTGAGAGTATCCGTTGTCTTCACCATTTGTTAAAAAGACTGTTCTTTCCCTGACTGAATTGTCTGGCACCCTTGTTGAAAATTTAATGGACAGATATATGGGGCTTTAATTTTGACTCTCCATTCTATTCCATTGGTCTGTATGTCTATCCTTATGCTAGTATCATAGTGTCTTGATTACTGTAGCTTTATAGTTAAATTTTGAAATCAGGAAGTGTGAGTTCTTCAACTCTCCTCTTTTTCAAGACTGTTTTAGCTACTCAGAATCCCTTTAAATTCTTTCAACAATGCCTTGGAGTTTTCAGAATATGTTTTACGCTTATTTTGTTAAATTTATCCTATTTTGTTTGATTCAATGCTAAGTGGAATTATTTTTCTTAATGTGATTTTTTAAAATGGTATCTCTGTGTGATTTTATTTATTTATTTATTTGAGAGAGAGAGAGCTTGTGCTTAAGTGGGGGGAGGGTCGAGGGAAAGGGAGAGAGAGAATCTTAAGCAGGTGCCACACTCAGTGAAGAGCCCAATGAGGGGCTTGATCTCAAGACTCTGAGATCATGACCTGAGCTGAAATCAAGAGTTGGATGCTTAACCAACGGAGCCACCCAGACACCCCCACCCCATGTTAATAAGATTGTTTACTCGCTCATTTAAAAATTTGAAGTTTATTTATTTTGAGAGAGAGAGAGAGAGTGTGCGTGCACAGGGGAGGGGCACAGAGAAAGAGAGAGAATCCCAAGCAGGCTCCATGCTGTCAGGGCAGAGCCCAATGCAGGGTTTGATCCTACGAATTGTGAGATCATGACCTGAGCCAAAATCAAGAGTCGGACCCTTAACCGACTGAGCCACCCAAGTGCCCCTTAATGTGATTTTAAGATTTTTCATTGTAAGTATATTGATTGATCTCGTATTCTGCAACATTGCTACGTTTGTTAGTTGTAGTAGTCTTTCAATGGATTCCTTAGCATTTTCTGTATAAAGACCACGTCATCTACCAAGAGAGATCATTTTACTTTTGTCTTTCCAATCTGCACGCTTCTCTCTAGAACTCCCCACTCCTCCCTCCCCACCCCCAAACTCCCTGGCTAGAACCTCTAGTGCAGTGTTAAACTGAACTGGTAAAAGCAAAAAAACAAACAAAACAAATAAACAAGCAAACAAACACAAAAAACCACCCCAAAACAACCACAAAAAAGAAGGGGTAAAAGCAGACGCCCTTGTCTCTGGTCTTAGAGGAAACACTTTCAATTTTTAACCCAGGGATTATGGGTTCCGTTGTGACCAAAGAACACACTGTACGATCTCAATTCTTCTCCATCTGTTGAGATTTGTTTTATGGGCCAGGATATGGTCTACCTTGGCATATATCCCATAGTATTTGAAAAGAGTGTGTCTTCTGCTGCTGGGTGGAATAGTCTTTGTTGATTGGATCCTGTTGGTTGATGGTGTTAAGTTCTACATCCTTGCTGATTCTCTGTCTCGTTGTTCTGTTGTTGCAAGGGGTGTTCAAGTCTTCAAGTGTGGACTTGCTATTTTTTCAATACTACCAGATTAGCATCACACGTTTTGCGGCTCTGTGATTTGGTAAATACATATTTCAGATTATATCTTCTTGGTGGGTTGACTCTTTTTCTCACCATATAATGTTCCCCTGTCTCTGGTAACTTTCTTTGCTCTGAAGTCTAATATATCTGATACTTATATAATTGCTTTTGGGGGACTACTTGTATGATATATACTTTTCAATCCTTTTACTTTCAACCTTATATCGTCATATTTGAAGTGAGTCTCTTGCGGGAGCATATAGTTAGGTCATGTTCTTTCATCCACTTCGCCAACCTTTCCATAGATATATTTAGACCATTTACATGTGATACACCGTACTTAGTGATCTCAGTGATCTATGTAATCTCCCATCTTATTTTTTTTCTGCCTTCCTGTGGGTTACTTGAACATTTTTAAAGAAATCCTTTTTATTTTTTTATTTTTAAAAATGTTTATTGGGGCGCCTGGGTGGCTCAGTCGGTTAAGCGTCCAACTTCAGCCCGGGTCACGATCTCGCGGCCCGTGAGTTCGAGCCCCGCGTCAGGCTCTGGGCTGATGGCTTGGAGCCTGGAGCCTGTTTCCGATTCTGTGTCTCCCTCTCTCTGCCCCTCCCCCGTTCATGCTCTGTCTCTCTCTGTCCCAAAAATAAATAAACGTTAAAAAAACAAACAAACAAAATGTTTATTTATTTTTGAGGAGGGAGGGGCAGAGAAGATTGGAGACCCAGAATCCGAAGCGGGCTCCGTGTTCTGAGCTGTCAGCACAGAGCCCGACGTAGGGCTTGAATTCACACACTGTGAGATCATGACCTGAGCCAAAGGTCAGGATGCTTTTAACTGACTGAGCCACCCAGGCGCCCCAATCCTTTTTACTTATTATTTATTACATATTTACATCTGTAGTGTTTTGGTTGTATTATCTTTTTTGAGTGGTTGTTCTAAGAATCTCATCATATATACTGGTTACCACAGTATATTTTTGTTGACATTTTACCATTTTAAGTGTAGAAACCTCTCTATTCCCCTCTCGCCTTCCCCTGTTTATAAAGTAATTGCCTTAAATATTTCCTCTATGTACATTTCCTCTATGTACATCAATATTATAATTTTGGTTTCAACCATTAACCACAATTTAGAAAACTCATGGGAAAGATATTTTTATTTACCCATAGTTTTACTATCTCTGTTGTTCTAACTTCCTTTCTAGAGAGACAAAGTTTCCTTCTTTTACTTTTTAGTTTTTAATTTTTAATTTTATTTTTAATATTTACTTTGAGAGGAGGGCACAGAGAGAGAGAGAGAGAGAGAGAGAGAGGCAGAGAGGGAGGGAGAGAAAGAGAATCTCAAGCAGGCTCTGCACTGTCAGCGTAGAACCCGGCGCAGGTCTTGAACTCACGAACTGTGAGATTGTGACCTGAGCGGAAATCAAGTTGGACACTCAACTGACTGAGCCACCCAGGCCCTCTTCCTTTTTTAGTTTTTCCTTTAAGTTTAGAGAAATTTAAAGCCATTATTTTAGGGTAGGTC